TTTTTTTTTTTTTTTTTCCAACGACAAAAACCAACTTTGATTTAAGTGATGAATGAAATCGGTTATCTACTTTTTTGTCTTTCTTTTTGTTTTAATTATTCGCTTAAAAAATGATGTCAAAGCCGCTATGCCGATGATTATATATACTGTATTATTTTTACAATCGGCAAGGTTGACGAAAGGAAAATTCGACCTCTTGCCGATTGTTGGCCCGTATATGTGCATCGCTTGAAAAAATTTCAGTTCATTGTAATATCGCCTTTTGTAATTGCAAATTATCAGTGGCACCCGTTCCCCATTCGGTCGTTGCACTCGACAGGTCATAATCATAATAGGTACCTACATGCGATGGCCATTGCCATAATATATATATATATACGTATACTCGCTTGCAAAGAGTTAGCCGAGGGATGCCCGTGAGAACGTGCTGTGTAGGCAGCAAAAAAAAAAAAATACAAGCTCGTAGACAACAACAATTCAGCAGCCACATCGATCAATCTTGCGCCACGTCGCGCTCTAAGCAACGGAACAACTAAAGTAGCCGGGATCGTCCATCCGATCGACAACGGGTTACTTTGATTTTTTTTCCCCCCCTTTTTTTTTCTTCCAATCCTTCCGCATCATCTTTGACTTACGAAAGTAAGAGTGTCCTGTTCACTCGAGTTCAGGTGTATATACATACCTATTATATAAAATACCGAGTCTTTTTCGTGCGCTCGTGATCTATAAATCGCTTGGAGGCAGGAAAAAAAAAAAAAAAAAAAACTGGCGATCCTATTGTGCAACCTGAGGCTTGTAAAGCACGACCTGCTCTCTCTCCCTCTCTCAGCGCTACACAGTTGCAAGTATAAGTGTATATAATAATGGTTTACAACCCCGGGTACACGACCAAGTCGAGAAACAACTATAGGTAGTACGTGTATACATTGTGATACGATGCGGTAGCTCGATGAGAATGGAATTTCGTGCAACCAAGACTCCGTAAAAAAAAAATAATAATAATAATAACTAGCGGGTGTGTAAACGGATAGATGATTTTTCGCGAATCGCGGGAGAAAACGGTTGCGCGAGGGCCAATTTAACGATGAAAGTGGCCAGATTGCTACGGCGGCGATCTCCCGAGGATGATAAATTCCGTACAAGGTACTCAATACGCGGGCAATGTTTATTAAAAAACAACAAAAAAAAAAAAATAATCATACAAACACACATCATTGCACTGTAATTTTTTTAAAGACCTCTCGTCACCTGTTTCAATTGATTAATTGATGAATTAATTGATAAATTCAATTGATGAAATAAAAGAAAGAAAAAGCAATCATCTGACACTTACAGGTGAACCTCCGTTCTGCTGGTCGCAAGCGCTTCGCCCACCTGAGCGCTTCCCAGGACGAGATCCACGTGGACGCGCCCGTGCCCTGGGGCGAGGACACCCTGTTCACCCTCGAGTTTCGCGGCCAGAGCGACCACTCGGACTCGAAGACCAAGCCCGAGGCTGGCCACTACGCTTTGCACACCTGCAACAACAAGTACCTGGCTCGCGACGGCAAACTGCTCGAGACCTGCACCCGCGACTGCCTCTACGCCGCTGAATTTCACGCTGGACTGCTCGCTCTCAGGTACGGGATTTTTTCTCAATTTTTTTTTTTTTTTTTTTTTTTTTTTTTTTTTAATTTAATTAAATATCACGTGTCACAGCCAACTCTTGGCGTTGCCAGAGTCGTACAACTCTTTTATACATATAGGCGTCGTGAAGTACGGTCTTTTTTTTGGACTGGCTCGTTTGCGAGACACGTAAACGCGTAAACTTGTAAAAGAGACAGAGGAAGGGTATAAAAAAAGGTTTCGAGGCGACGATTCGTTTCGGATGAGTCACGCGTCGGTGTACCGAAACGGCAAATTTTGCAGTGCCACGTGTACTGTACGCTTTTTACCCACCTATAAACGCAGTATACATTTTAAGGCAACGTGCCGGTGCGTGACGCGCCAGAGAGCAGAGATACCGATCTCCCTTGTCGCGGATGGTTTACTGATGCTTTTCTTGCCGTTTCTCTTCACGAACGGGGTAATTTCAGACGTTTAGCGAATATGTAAGTAATGTACTTTGTACTTTGGCACCCTTATTTAACGGCAGGTATTAAATCGGCAACCGATTTTCGTTTGGTTGTACACGTTTAGAAGAGAGAAGCCGGTGTGATGTGAAAAAAATAAACTGTCGCAAAATCCAAGGTATATTACGCATCGGAGATGTAAGCCCCGACCGATCGGGTGGAGAGTCAAAAAAATCCCCGAAGCGCGACGGCTTCGCCTGACTCAGCGCTGCATGAATATATATATATATATATATATATATATATATACGTACACAAAAATGCAAACTCAATACCGATCCCAACGTACATGATATACAAATAAATATAAAACGTGTAAAAGACTAGGTAGGTGTACAGTATGATGATGTATGACGTGCGCTCGTGTGCCCGTAGGGACGTGACCGGTGGCTACCTGGCGCCCATCGGTAGCAAGGCTGTGTTAAAGTCGCGCTCGACCACCGTGACGCGCGACGAGCTCTTCTCGCTCGAGGACTCGCTGCCCCAGGCCTCCTTCGTCGCGGCCCTCAACCAGCGCTACGTGTCCGTTAAACAAGGTAAGTGCCAACGCGGTGTGAACACCAAATGATGATGATGAGTAAGTAAGTAAGTATATCTCGGGCAAAGCAGCTTATGGTTCTGATCGTTATTTGGCCATATGGAGAGCTGTTACTATGTATACGTATACACGGGAACGGGTCGCGTGAGTCATCTTAATAGCAGCTGCAGCTGCTCTTTTTTTTTTTTTTTTTTTTTTTTTTTTTTTTTTTTTTTTATGTATATATGGTTTGGTC